GGGGGGGGGGGGGGGGGCGGGGTGGCTCCGTGTCGGTGGAGAGATGTAGAGGGAGGGGGTCCTCATGTAAACGCATGTCGTAATCGTGCTGGGAGGTGGGGATGGGGGGTGAGGGTGAGGCTGATGTGAGCTCCGGGGCTTGAGTGCCAAAGTCTGGCTGACAAGAAGAGTCTGCACTACTTTCGTGTTGTGGATTAATCTTGAAGTGATGGTGCTCAACCCCATCCTGTTGTTGTTCCCCAGGTCGCGGCATCAAGCAGCAGCACATGCTCGGCGAAGCGCTTGGAGATATCTACGGNGGGGGGGGGGGGGGGGGGGGGGGGGGGGGGGGGGGGGGGGGGGGGGGGGGGGGTTGGTGCATGATCGTAGCTTTCAGGCCATATTCCTAGTGGGTTTCTCGCATCCCGGACGGTCGAAATTAGGTTCACGCCGGCTAGACAAATGATTGCACCAATAAACGCGACGGGTTGTCTCGTGAGAAGCACCAATTCTCGGCGTTTTGTTTGTGTGTGGTTTCCAAAGTTTGTAACGGTTTGGGGAGTACCCTGTGGCTATGGAAAGTGCCTGCGCCAGTGCTGTATTGTTCGGATGTTTTAAGGCTCTGAGCGGAGGTCCAAACAGTTAAGAACGTGAACTCAACAACAGCAGCAACAATAGCAGCAGAAGCAACAACATCAACAACAACAACAAGAAGCAACGACGACGACACCAGTAACAGCTAAGGGGCCGGGGAGACGAGCTCGCAGGAAACTGACAGAGCTCTAGAGACGCTCGCCGAAGAGCTATGCTCTTGTTCCTCTTGCCTCGGTCGTACTGGGAAAAATAGAAGTGTACGACAGCAATGTTGTACGTGAATGTCGGCGTGGACAAGTGCTCTCGCGAACAGTGGCGGTCACTCATGAAAGGCGTCCCATGGCAACAACCCTTCCTGCTGGTTATACCCTTCCACGTACCTCTTTTGGACCGCTTGTCTTCACTCCGATCTCGGTGTTGGAGGCGCCCTCCGATGACAACATCCGAGCTGGTCAACCTAGCAAACACCCTGTTCGTGTTTTATGTTCATGGCCGTGTTTCTTACCAAACCCAACCCCAACTCATAGGATTCGCATGCCTCCCCCCCCCCCC